ATATATATATATATATATATATATATATATATATATATATATATATATAAAAGCGTGAAATATAATATTTACTTCTATTCCTACTTTCTCCAAAAGAAAACTTTTCGTTATTTGTAATAAAATAATAAAAACTCTTCCCTTATTTTATTTCAACTAGTTGCCAAGAAAACATTTCTCACTAGTTTCTCTAATTAGTTTAACTTGATGTACTTCAATTAATTAATAAAAACTACAGACATTTTTAAAAAAGAAAAATCTTACAAAAAATACAAAAACATGCCAAAATTTGTGGTTTAAGTCAGTAAAATGAAATGACTGAAATGGCTCCCATTTTTTTAAAGAAACTTTTTTACCTGTAAGAGGGTTAATGAGAAGTTTTTCAACCAAAGTTCACGAAAACCCTCTCCTTTCAATGCCAGTGTCAGAGAATCCAACACGTTTTTTGTGGGCCACGTACACACAGATGCCACCTCCAGCCTGCCGTTCTCTATTAAGGTAGTAGGTTAATTAATTTGAGTCCTGAGAGAATAACAGGTGTTAATTTCACGCATGTCCTATAAACCCCTAACTGCCATAAATTATGAGGCTCTGAAAAAATGACTTGAAAATACATCCACATAATTATATGAAAGAATATGAACTCAGGATGAGAGAACAGCTATGAATAACAGACCACAATTAGAGAGAGAGAGAGAGAGAGAGAGAGAGAGAGAAAGAGAGAGAATGAAATATCTCAGAACAGGGACAATCAGATTTAGTGCTTGTGGTTTCATTTAATCCATATTTAGCATATTTAATATACTATCTATATTCATGTATTATCTGCACACTTTAGGTGACTACAGATTGCTGTAATAAACAACAAAAACACTTACAAAATCATTTTTTCTGGACCTGTACCATGGTACTACCAGTACTATCAAGGTTGTGTGTGTATATATATATATATATATATATATATATATATTCCAATGGTATGTGTAGATCATATCGAAAGTTTTTAATATATTAAATATTATTATATATAATATCTGAACATATTTCAAATATTATATTTACATTATAAAATAATATTTCAAATATTACATAATATTTGAATATAGATATATGTATAATTAAAGATATAAATAATAAATGTATATACATATATGTGTGTCTGCATTATTATATTGTACATAATATTTGAATATAGATGTTGTAGATGGTATTAGATGTAATGTTCTACCTTTATATTGTGGTATAACATCAGAATGTTATATTAGGATAAAATGTCAGCTTATTATTTAACATCACAATAATTTGTTCTCGCACGTATATTGTGTCGCATCCAATCAGACAGCATCACACTAAATGCTGGTACTCTGTCTAACTGAGCCTAAATAGTTGAAATCCCCAGAGAAGCATCACAGACATTATTGTAATTCACTAAACTGTGCCTGTCTTCTCCACGATCATCATAAGTGCAGGATCTGCAGCCTGTGGCGGCCCTTTCTCTCCTGTCATTAGTAAAGAGCTGCCCTAGAGCTACAGCGAGAACCATCTGATCCTCTGCGGTGAGTAAATGAGTGTGGCCTGCAGGAACAAACCGTCAAACACATGTCTTACACACTCTTGTAGAGAAAGCTGATGCATGCTAAAATCTAAATGTCTTAGACTGTGCCTCGGAAGTGCTGGAGTTTGGACTCTCTCCGCCCCGCCACAGCTACCATGACACACACAAGGAAAGAAGATTTATGAAAGCAAGAAGGAGTAATAAATCTCATAGGTGAATGGATATTAAACCCATAGCAGAGCTTAAAGGAGGGATGAGGCATAACTAGAGACCACCAGAACACCTTAGCAACCACTTAAACACCCTAGCAACCAAAAACACTCTAATAACCATATTCAATGAATGAAATATGAAATCTAAACATATATAATAATTTTAAATCGTATTATACAAATATTTGAATAGAGATAAATTAGATGTAATATTCAAATATTATATAATAAATTAAATAATATTTTAATGGTAGTAATACATTTAATAATATGTTAACATAATATTTGTATTATTTTTTTATGAAAATAAAGAGAGGCTTGTGACCCTTAGGGTGTATTCACACCAGGAAAGTCCGCTAGTTCACTTGCATTGGTCCGGGCCAAATACATTGTTGATTTTTTTTTTTTGGTGTGGTTCACTTTCACACTGCCCTTTTTGCAAGTGAACCAGAAATTGTAAACAAAACCGCACGTGTGCTAAGATCACCCATTCATTGGACAGAAATTCTCAAGTGCACCAGAGTTCGTTTGGAACCGGACCGAGACCACCTCTTCAGCTTGGTTTGGTCCGCACCCGAGTGCGATTTCTGTATTCACATCTGCCCAAAAGATCCGCACCAAGGGGGGAAATGAACTTGAGTTCGAACCAAACAAGACAGGTGTGAATACACCCTTAATTAGATAGTAAGCAGCCACCTAGCAACCAAACATGACACCCTAGCAACCATATGTAAATTGAAGAATATTTTAAAATATTATTATATATAATATTCAAATATCGATATATTAGCTGTAAAATTCACATATAATATAAATATTAACTGATTAAATTAATA